TAATATGGTGGGCCCCTTGACCAAACTTATGTGCCTCGTTCCCAGCCTGACCCACAGCATGGTGGGCCTCTTGGCCAAACCTCCCAGCTTCCTTCCCAGCCTGCCCTATAATATGGTGGGCTCCCTGACCAAACTTCCCTGCTTCACTTCCCGCCTGGTTGACCCCAAGATGGGCCCCATGATGGGTTATTTTGTCTGCCGCCTTGCCAACCTGTCCAGCTGCGTGGTTGACCCCATGGACAATATTTCCTGATTCCTTTCCTGCTTGTCCGATGCCATTGTTGATCCCATGGGCTACCTTGTCCAAGCCGTGGTTGATCCCCTGTTCCATCTCCTTGCCGGCATGGCTCCCCATGTTGCTAAGTCCATTGACAACTTTCTCCACTTCCCTTCCAGCTTGAGTGATTCCATTATTGATGCCTTCCAGGGCCTTGCCAACCTCTTTCTCTGCCTTGCTCAGCCCTTGGTTGATCCCTTCAATGACCTTCTCAATAGGGTCATCACTGGTTGCCCATCCAGGCAAGGCCCCGAGCAGCAGGAGGAGGCAGCAGGAGCTGAGTAATCTGGCAGGATGCATGTTGTTGGGGAAATGGGGAGAATGCAGAGAGGAGCCTGGGAAGCAAGACTGCTATTTATCCTGCCTCCTGCCCTCTTCTCCACCCCTCATGACTCAACTGCGCCTGTGAGGCAGTGACTTGGTCACCATCTAGGAGGTATTTCCCAGGGAGATTTGGTGTTGAGCAATGAAGAAGAAGAGAGGGTGAGTCACGCGTAGAAAAGAGCCCTAGCTTCTTTGCTCCTTGCCCCTCTGAGGCCCTCCACCCAAGAGGAGAGTGTCCTTCCATGCACCTCCTCTTCTCATTCCTCACCCAAGGTCTAGGTCTCCTGTTTTACAAACCCACCTCCAGCAACCTGCCACACCTGGGACGCCGTGTTCCTGCAGCCATATTTCTCCTCTGAGGGACCTCAGTTCCAGTTTCCCAGCAGTGAGAATCCAAGAGGATGGGAGGCCCAGTCAGAGAGAGGGAAGAACTCTAGGAGAGCTGGGGGAGTCTCCCTCTTGGCCTAAGCCTTGTGCCTGTGGGCTCTTGCTCCCACTCTCACTTACTCTGCTCCAGACACACAGGTCTTGTACCATTTCCTCAGCTGCACACCACACAATTGCTACTCCACTGCCTTTGCACTTGCTCTTGTCTCCACCTGGAATTCAGAACCCAGAACCCCACAAGACAGACTCTTCCTCCTCATGTCACCTTCTCCAAAAAGGCTTCCCTGAGCACCCCCGAGATGGTCATAGTATCAGTTACCCTCTGTAATATCACCCTTTTGTTTCTATAGCATGTACTATGAGCCCAGACCATCTTTATTTCTTATTGTGTCTCACCCCCAAACTGTACACTTCCAGAGAACAGGGCCTTCATCTGTGTGGGTCACTGCTGTAGCCCCAGCTTCTAGAACATTGTCTGGGGTACAGTGAACACTTACAGAAGAAACACATGAGGGGATTAGAAGAAGCCAAGGGAGGAGAGTCTCAGCCTGAGCCTCAGTCTCACAGTGCACTGGAGGGTCCCCTGTGGAGGGTGGAAGTCAGGATCATACTCTCAACATGGAACCCAGTCCTCTTGCCTCCCAGCCCTTGGGCCAGGGCAGGGGGTGATTGCCATGAGCTGAGACGCAGTGTCTCCTGAAAAGCCGGTTGAGGCAGCCACGGGGAGGGGCCAAGGACCTGGGGCAGTAGGTGCTGTCAGCCAGCACGAGGGTTGGGGTCAGGAGCTCTTCCTTCCTGCCCTCCTCCCCTGGGGCCTCTTAAACCCTGACCTGAAGCCCCCAGTGTTGACTTACTGGCTCAGGTTGGAGGGAGAAACAGATGGGAGTTTGGCCTGTGGCTGAAGAGGGACATTAGAAGGAAGGGCGAGTGGTGGCTGCTGGGTCTGCGGCAGCATATCTACCTGGGAGCTGGTTTGCATGGAAGTGACCAAGAGCCAGTGGGTGGGTACAGTTTGGTGCAGGGGTGAAATATACGGGGTTTAATGCCAGGGGTGGAAATGGGTTTGCTTGTAGGAAGGCCAGGCACGAAGGAATGTGCAGGGCGGCAGAGCTATGTGTGTGGGTGCTCAGGTGTGGCAAGAATCTGCACTTGTTTTCAGGCTGTGCTCAGACCAGGGCACCAGGCCCACTCCCCTCAGAGGACCCAAAGTCCCGCCCCAGATCCTGAGCAGTCAGCTCCACCCGGGACCACACATCCCAGGCCAGAGACCTTCTCCCGGCTCTGCAGATAGAGGTGACTAATTGGGCCACCTCTACACACTTAGGCTCATCGCATCTATTTCCTGGTTTCATGCTCCTGTGACAAAGGCAGATCCCTGGGTAACCCTAGGTGTGGCTCTCCCAACCCTATCTGGTCCCTAAATGATGGAGTGTCCCAGGCCAGGAGGTTGCCGAGCAGGGAAGAGTAGGTGATGAGCTTCAGAGTTCTAACCTGCCCCAATTTGAAAAGTAGGGCTTCTCCATCTGAAATGCCATTTCATCTCTTCCATCCTCTCTCTGCCCCTTTTCCATCTCCTGTCACCCCTAATCCCTCTCTCTCTTAAGCCTCTCTCTTCCCCTTTGCAACTATGTGATTCAGGACACTGACACTGTCTCTAGAACTGAGATTGGGCTGGCATTGTCCCTTCTTTTGTCAGGGGCCTTGGCTGCTTTGGGTAGCTTGGTTATGCTGTTTTGCTAGGGCGGATGGAGGAAGTTTCAGTAATGGGGCCACCATGGCTGTCCCCAAGGCACTCCAAAGCAAGTGCAGGGTATATACATAAATGGTTTGCTGATCAAGCAATTTCACAGCAAGTGCCCTACTGAGAGCCCTCTTTGAATAGCTGTTGCCACTGGGCTTCCCGGATCTATGCAGGATCTGCTGCCGTTAGCATGGAATGGTGAATATTTATTCCCAATGCTTTGGCGGGTCTGCCCATAAAATGATGTGGATCTGAATCAGGAAGACGGTTTGGAAGGACTGATCATAATCTATTTTTCTCTTGTTATTGGCCTGGGCAGATTTACTATTTCTTCTTAACACCAGTCTTTATATGGACTGGGGGTGGGAGTACTGGGCATTGAATCCAGGGCCGTCACACTGAGCTACAGCCCCACCCCTTTTAAATTTTTTTTTAATTTTTGAGGCAGGACCTCACCAAATTATCATGACTGGGCTTGAATTGTGATCCTCCTCCCTCAGCCTCCCAGACTGCTGGAATTACAGGTGTGCACCACCATGCCCAGCTTGATCATTTATATTTTTGAAAAAATGTTTTTCAGTTGCATCTACATTTTCAAAGGTGCTTTTGTAAATTTGTATGAAATCAACCCCTTTTCATCCCTGGTTTTGTTTGTGCTGGTTTTTTTCTTCCTTGATTGTGACTGTTAAAGTCTGCCCTCCTTTGTTTGATTACCCATCTGAACTTTGGCTTTGATTCATTGAAATCACCTCATTTTTCCCCCAAATTATTTTCAGTCCCTCTTTTTTTTTTTTTTTTTTTTGTACCGGGAATCAAACTCAGGACTTTGCACTTGCCACGCAGGCGCTATGCCACTGAGCTATGTCCCTGGCCCCAGTCGCTCTTATTCCAGGCCATCTAGGCAGGAAAGCTTCAGCGATTTCTGTCCCTGGCAGATACTTGGTAAACTGAGTTCCCATGGAGGTTTGAGGAAAGAAGAGATTGTCATTCTGTGACTTCTTGCTTCCACCTTTCTATTTGGGGTGGTGATTCCTATGGCATAAATTCCCACACCCCTAAGTCTTGGTCACAGCTGCGTGTCAACCAGCCCTACGAGCAAAGGTGCCTGCCTGTGAGTCACCAAAGCTCAAACAACCCCCCATACCAGGGCTTTACAGGAAGGTGCCATTTGTCTACCTATTCTTTCTCAAATGTTTATTGAGCGCCTACTTTGTGCCAGACCCTGTCCTGGGCACTGGAGGCACTCTGGTGAATGAAATAGGTCAGAATACACAGCCCATGGCAGGCACAGAGCCCATGGCAGAGACCTGGAGCCAGCAATCACAACTAGGTTGTAACACATTGCGAGAAAAGCTACAAGGAAAGGAACAGGGTGCTGTGAGAAGACAGGACTTGATGACTTCTTAAAGAAAGACTGGGGAGCAGAGGAAACCTGAAGAAGTATCATTTCTTTGTTCTTTTGAATACAGGAAAATCTCATTTCATTGTGCTTTGCTTTACTATATTGCGTTTTTTTTTTGTTTGTTTGTTTTTTAACAACTGAAGCTTTGTGGTAGCCCTGCATTGACCAAGTCTGTTAGTGCCATTTTCCAACAGCTCAGATGATCCTTAGCACTGTTTCCTATTGGTTTGTTGGTTTAGCAACAGGATCTTGCTACATTTCCCAGACTGGTTTCAAACTTGTGGACTCAAATGATCCTTCTGTCTCAGCCTTCCAAGTAGCTGGAACCAGACAGTCACTAGCATTTTTTTTAAGCAATAATGCCTTAATTATTTTGTTTTGTTTTGTTTCTTGTAATGCTAAGAATTAAAGCCAAGGTCTTGCTCATGCTAGGCAAGCACTCTTCCGCTGAGCTGTGCTTCCAGTTATACTGAGGTTGGCAGTGGCATGTGCCTGTAATTCCAGCTACTAGGGATTCTGGGATTTGATGACAGTCTGATCAACACAGAAAGATCTCATCTCAAAAAAAAAAAAAAAGGTTTTTAAAAAATATTTATTTTTAAATTTATTTATTTATTGAGACAGGATATTGCTGTGTATCTCAGACTGGCCTTGAATTCACCATATAGCTCAGGCTGGCCTCAAACTCACAGTGATCCTCCTGCCTCAGCCTCCTGAGTGCTGGGATTATAGGTGTGTGCCATCACACCTAGTTTACACTAGTGTTTTTACACACAGTGCTTTTGTACTGTGTAAGCCTAACTTTTTCTTGCCCTGAGAAACCAAAACCGTATGACCCACTTTGCTTTATTGCAGTGATCTAAAACAGAACTCAAATCTCGAAGGTAGGCCTCTATTATTTATTGAGCAAACACCTCCTAAGTGCCAAACACTCTTCCAGTCAACAGGATATAGAAGTGACACAGACAGACTAGGTCTCTGCTGCTCCAGAGTTATGGTCTAGTGGCAGAGACAATTAGCAAGAAGACAAATGAGTAAGCCAGACGGTAATGTGATGTGCTAAGAGGGAAATAAAACAATGAAAGGACAGTTCTAAAGCAGTTTGGGGGCTGGGGATTTAGCTCAGCGGCACAGCATTTGCCTGGCAAGCATGAAGTCCTGAGTTCGATTCCCGGTACCAGAAAAAAAACAAAGCAAAAAAAAAAAAAAAAGCAGTTTGGGTTGCTTTGTGTTGGGTAGGGTTGTTTTTGAGATGGGTTGCAGCTTTGTTGCCCAGGCTGGCCTCAAACCCCTGGGCTCTTGCTTCAGTCTCCCTTGTCAGGCTCTGGAGTAGTTCTGCATATTGAAACCTCCAGCCAGGATGGGGAAATGAGAGAAAGCTTCCCTGAAAGGTGGGTAAAAGATTGTGGCAGGTGGGGTGAGGGCAGATAGTCACTGAGAAAGCAAGGATCTTTAGCTGGGGAGTCTTAAAGGATGGCGTGGGAAGAAACCA